TGGACAGAACCACAAACAAGTACACACACTTTGGCCTATTTAAGTTCCGTTTGCTCCAAGTGTGTTGAATTATTCACAGGGCTACCATAAGGGGACTAGGGATAGTAATGCTAGGCAGGGGCCATGCATGGAAAACCCTCATAAATAAAACAATATTGACAAATAAGGTTGACGTCAGTCATGTCATCCCATGCCTCGGTATGTAAGGGTATAGCCTTCACTGACTACTGATAATTAGTCATAAACAAATTTGTTACCAACACACAGTGTGCCTCCATGTGTTTGTGCAGCAGTTCCTTTTACACAATGTTTTAGCTTTAAACAACGGACTACAAACCCTTCAAACTTCTCATCTGCAAGTGTGTGATCTAGGCATTTTGTGTACACAGTATACCCACAGCAATAGCTCGTTGTACAAGTTCCTGTTTCAGGCTTTCAATACAAACCATGTTGTTAGGCTATAGATGTAGCTGCATAAGAAGATTGCTGTTCTTTACAACTAGAGCATTGCACTCCTTAACAGTGAATGTCTTAGAACAGGAGCGAAACAGTGTCCCTTAACAAAACACCACACTTTCATACAACTCATGTCTGCACCAATATATAGTAACACATTATAGCATAACCTTCTCCCTGGGGAGTCAGGGTCTCGCTTGCTTTCCTATACCCAGTACTTTTATTAATGCTACTGCCGTTCACTTAGTCTCTCTGCTTTCTCCATCAAAAGACAACCTGCACAGAGTCAAGAGGGCAGCATGCCTGCATGGTGAGCGCAGCGTTTTATGTACATGAGCTGGAATATAACGCAGCCAGCGTCGGTGTCTGATGGCTGACTACTGCTGGGTGGGCTCATTCCAGCGCAGCACTGCAGAGGCTTAGGTGGTGCTGAGAGAAACCCTACACCTCTGTAGGGCAGGCAGGGGCAAAACAACGCAGCATCACTACTGGTGATGCTTATCAACTGTGACCCTGCCAAGTACATCACTTTAATCTCTCTGTCTGGGATCAGCAGTGCAGCAGCAGGCTCACAAGTACTATGCAGACTCGCAACAGAGATTAGTGATACCACGGAGCAAGATGGTGATTATGCATGGACAGAAGGATGGATGGATGAATAGATGGATGAATGGAATGAGTGGCAAATAAGTGGTTTGGTGAGCACTAGAATCAATGAAAGAACAGTTTGATGAATGGAAGGGTGAATGGATGGAAAGACAAATGTGTCAGTGGGAATAAGGATGGTTGGATGGACAGACTGTCCAGCCGTCTGTAAATATACAGCTCACTTCAGCAGAATCATAACTATGAGTTCCTCTATGAGTAAAAGTAGTGATGAGCCAAGGCAGATTGATTCAAACATGATCTTTTCCACTGACAGAAAATTTGTTCTTGTAGTTCCTGGAAGTTTGCTTTCATAATCTTATCATGTTTTAGCTCTAAATTTCAAAACAAAAGACTACAAAACTCTGCAGCTCATGGGTGAATCATGGGAAACCTTTAAAGACCTCAGACAAAAATACATCAAGCAGTACAAAAATATTTTAATCTGTCTGTCTTCAGACTTTATAACTGGACTAAGCTACTGCAGCCACACACTTGTATTCATATTTCATATGTTGCCAAGTTTAGCAATGGCTGGTAGTAAAGTAGGTTCACCTCAATATGTCAGGAGGCAGTGCTCAGAGACTTGAGCTCATAAAGCGCGCAACGCTTGATGAAGAGGCACTGAACTCATTAAAAGCTAATGCTGTTGAAACAGAGTCAGTTATTTAGAGATGAAAAAGCAATATGACAACCTCTTTACATTCTCTGGCCGTTTTAGTCTTTTGCTTCACTTCAGTACCAGAATGACAACATTCTGTTGTTGGCAAGTTTCTTAACTTGCTGACATGTAAAAAATACTGAACAATTTGACTGCTTTGCAATAAAATCAAGAATGGAAATTTGACTTTTGTCCACAGTCAAATTGTACAGGAACTAAAGAAATTGCTCAATTTAGCCGCAGTTACCTTTAAGATAAATGAATCTTGGTGCTGAGTAAGTAGACAAGGTAACTGAAGTTACGGTTTCACTTCAGACGGGGCAATTTCCTGTGATTCTGAGTTACTGATAGTGATCCAAACTAATGCTTGGATTAAGAGTCTTAAGCCACTATATCCTACCCACCCTTAAACTCCAAGAAAATAGCCTTTCTGCTGACGAGAAGTTATGGAAGCCAACGCTCGGCTTTGTCCGTGGCTATGAACAGGGCAATGGCCTGCTGACAGGTTTCTCATCAACACAAGCCAGGCGGTTGCAATGACAGGAAGCATTTGTCTCAATCAGCAGGTTGCTCATATTCATTCTGGAAGTTGAGCCCTGCGCACATAGCATTCTTAGTTCCCACACCTCCCTCCCCCTACTCGATGACCCTCCACGCCAGGAACAAAACCCCGGGAATGTGAGCTATGCAGAGCTGCAGCTCGGAGACACCTGTTCAGACAGCCAACTCAGGGCAAAGCTTCCTACGCTGTGCCTTGTCTGAGCCGCTGCATCCAACCCCACCCTGACCTCAGCTGCCTCCATATACACACACACCTCAGCACTGTGTGCATTAAAATAAAGAAAAAGGCATCATTTTCAGTCCAGCAATGAATCATTTCAGGATGCAACAGCAACTATTAACACCTTGTATATTAACTTCAATCAACAGTGAATAATCTGTAAAGTGAAAGCATAATGAAGCCATCACAGACTTGTTATAATGTTAAGATGTTGACCTCATAAACCAGAGATTATGAGACCAAAACAGTTATAACCAAAGTCTCCTAAGAGACCCTCCCTGCCCAGTTGGAATTCAGACTGAAGGCCTCCCACCTTTTTCTAGGCAAGATTTAAAAGAAGAACTAGGCTATTCCCACTGAGAGCAAAGGAGCTGGCCAAAACTGCAGACAAACCATTGAGGTTTCAGAGTTTACACAGAGAAATGTCGGCTCTCTGGAGATTCCCCTCTGTGGCATTCAAATACAAGGGAAAGAAGCTCATCCAAGCTTTTTCTCACAATCACAGCACCATAACAATTTTGGGGATGGGACCAAAAAGAAACAAAGACAACTAGAATGGCACTCAGTAGAGCACAGACCTCTGCCAAGGCCACTCCTACGCACATCTGTCAGATCGAGATTATTATCTGGATTGGCACCAATTGTAAGTCATAGATCACAATACCATTAATATGTCTGATATTTTAAAACAAGATCCAGACATTACTTCCTGAGAAACTGACGAACAGATCAATAGTTGCAATGTTAAGGAAAGTGATAAAAAATTCCTGGATCCATCCCCTTTAAACTCCAAAACTTTTATGGGTTCTTCCCTGGCCCAACACCCACCCCTCCTCCAAGTTTGGTTCAAATTGGTTCGGTACTTTTCTTGTAATCCTACTGACAAACAAACATACAAACCACAAAGGCACTGAGAGACAGCAGACCTCTACAAAGGCCAATGTCAGACAACATATACCAGACCTCATAGAAAAAAAATCATATTGATAATGGGCTCTTCCCTGGCCCATGCACCATCCCTCTACCAAGTTTGGTGCAAATCGTTTCAGTACTTTTTGAATAATCCTGCTGACAAATAAACCGACACGAGTAAAAACATAACCTCTTTAGGAGAGGTAATGAATGGTGGGACATTATGTGGATACCATACCTGGCAAGCCAGTGAAGTTTCAAACTGATGAAGATATTTGCAATATTACACAACAGATCTTGATTAAACATTTTGATATGCTGAATAACAATGAAATGCAGGTTTGCATTCGCTTGATTAGTGTGATCTGTAAAGATGCTCCTTCAAACTACAGGCCACAGATACACAAGCCAATACATTCTTTTTCTCAAGCCCCACACTTCCCCTGCTAAGTGATGGCTATGTGTGCATTCAATAAGTATGCAGACTGTAACTGTCATGAGGAACAAATGACTCAATGGAATGAAACATAATAGCATTTCCATTTTCAAAAAATTACTCCTGACATCTTGTGCTTCTCTGAATTTTTACCACATTAAGAAATGGATAATATTGTGGCTTTTGGGAGGGTTATTAGGCAATTTCATGTTGAAGTAAAGATACCCAGGAGTCTGAGCAATATCATGTGACAAGGCCTCATTCATATCATGGCAGAGCAATAATGGTTATGAAAGAATTTTGGAAAACAAAAACACATGGTGTCCTGTGTCATTATAATATACAAATTCAAAGTATGCAAAACAAGTGGCTGAGTTGGGATGTGATGGAAGCTAGCCAATTGCTGAGTCTCCAGTGGGCCGCCAGCTCAGCTCAGAGGCTTGGCGCTGTCAGCCAGTGACAAGCTCCGTGTCATCACAGGGCACAAGGGCTCTGTATTCCCCCCGGCCAAGCTGCATGGGCATACTGTACTTCCTGGAGAGCCTCGGCTTTGGGTGTGGGTGTTTTGTGGAAGTTGAGGGTTGTGTCACGAGGAAATTTTGCCATTGTTTTGGATTTTGTGTAAATGTTAGCATACCTAAACTATAATTTCATTTTGTTTACAAGTGTAAGCTATGCGGTCCATGGAGGTTCCACCGTAGCCTACAATTGCAATTACGAAACATTATGTTAGCCCTGCACTAAGCTGCTTTCACTTCACCAGTCCTCAATACAAGACGTCATGGGTGAGCGTTCATTGAAACGTACACCACTACAAAGCCATTAGTGTAAAATTTCGGGTGTGAATAAAGTCTTACATAGAGCATAAAGTTAGTTTGCTACTGAGTAAAAACCTATTTGAACGTGAAGACCAACGGCTAAGCTCACAGACGGTTACTTTATATCATGAACCTGAGCTCACACACCGTACTGTAGCTCTGTATCCCCCATGAAAGCATAATGATATTAAATTAATTTCGAAATTTCCCACGGGAACTGCCTTTTTGTTTCCATTGGCTTGACCACTGTGAAAATAAGTTCATAGCGAGATACAATATGTTGGTACTCACTTTGCATCGGAGGTCGGAGTTAAATGGTGTGTTGTTGGTCAAAGTGTACTCCAACGGTTCCTTCGAGAACAAAACTTTTCAGTTTGTTTATTTTTCACTTTAAAAGCCGTGATTTGTTCCCCCCGTTTATCCACCGTAACTCATCCCCGCTCTCTGTGCCTACCTCTTGGACACAACCTTTCAAAATGTTACGCCTCGGCTTCTTCACAAGACAGATAAAGTGGTCTGTCAGGGCGCTGACTTGGAAACGGTTTGTTTTCTTAGAAACAACGTTAGCGTTAGCGTATGCGACGACACAATGCTGATCTGAGATCTGCACAAAACGGGGCTTTTACCGCAGAGGCCGCCCAGTCTGTTCTCTCATTGGTCAGAATTCTTAAGAGCGTGCTCAGTCTTTTGATGCTGTTCCGTTATTGGCTTGTAGTTCTGTCAATCATCAGCTAACGCTTCCATTGTAAATTTGCTTATCCGCCGACAGGAGAAAACAAAACAACCACACTGTGGCATCATAATTCTTCGAGAAATAGTGTTTATAGACACATGTAAATATTTATAATAAACTGCAATTCACAAAATAACTTCTGGGGATTCTGAGTTGCTATTCTATTTTAAGACAGGTTTTAAGACAGCTTATTTGCCTTCAGTTAGGCCTGTTAATTACAACACCAATTAGATCTGTTTCAGTTTCAAAATGTATTTACTTTATAGTTTTTGGGCCAGACAGACCCTAATTTCAAACATACCTCAGAGCAACGCTTGCACAAATGTTGGAGTATCTGTCAAGCTTTAGCCTTTTTATATTTGGAAAATCTCCAAATAGTTATGACATCCCTCATAGGTGGAATGAAGTGAACTCGAACTTGACTTTATTTTAAAATAATAATAATTTTATCTTATTTAGGAGAGGTCAGGTAATGCAAGTCTGTATTAGTTGGGTGAGTTTTGTTGTTTTAGTACTAGAGATATAAAAGTGGTTTGATATCTCCCCCTACAGGTCATGATTAAGAGAGAAAGCAACAAGTGGTCAAGGACCAGAAGAGGCACTTTGTAAAGGATTGAGCTGATTCTAAGACTCTTTTAATAAATTAATAAGAATGTGTCTTAAAATAGCTGACAATAGACTGTTGTTTCTTTTCAGTCACATTCAAGAGTGTGTAATCCTACTGAAATCATAGTCATAGACTCCTAGAATAGAATCTTACATTATTGTAAGACAGCACAGACTCACAAAAATCTGTTTCTCTGTCTGTCTGTCTGTCTGTCTGTCTGTCTGTCTGTCTGTCTGTCTGTCTGTCTGTCTGTCTGTCTGTCTGTCTGTCTGTCTGTCTGTCTGCCTACCTGCCTGTCTGTGTGCCTGTCTATCTGCCTGTCTATCTGCCTGTCCGTGTGTGTGAACAAGTTCCAGAAACGTACTAACAATAGATGGACCCCCTTTCGTGCCCCCTTGTCCCCACATTAAAGTGCGTTGTGTGCCAAAACGCTGAACTGCAGCTTCTTTTGTGCTCGGCCTGGGATATGATGTGGGACATATTGTCTGGGAACAATGGAGCCCTGCAGCCCTCCTCTGACAGATACTCACTCTGAACCATTGATACAACCTTTTCAAAGCCACAAAATGTGAAGAGGCTGTTTTGCATGCACACTCAGTTTCATTTCATATGCCAGAGTGTAGACTTGTAAATGATCATTATACCACTGCAATGATTCCCATTTGATGAATTTGTGGTTCTCTTTAATGATTCTATTGGATTATATATCTTTTACAATTCCTTGTTATGTTTGTATACTATACCTGTATCATACACTTACTGCTTCTCGTATGCCTAATGGTATGTGTAGATTTTATTCATTTCAATTCAGTCTATTTTAGTAGCTACAATGGAAATACTAAACGGCGATTTGACCTCTTTGTCATATAGAATTAATGTAAGAATGGAAATTGTGCCTTTAAAAAAAGTAATTTTGTGGGATTCTTTGTAGCTAGAATATAGACTTGTGTATTTATTGTTATGATGATTTCCAGGTATAGGTGGGTTGCGATATCAAAGTATAACCACTAGATGACAGCAGAAAACAATTCAGTGCCTGCTGTAGGCCTATAAACATTACGATGCCCACAGCGTTAGGTTGTGGGTGGACTTGATAATTGATCATTGAGGATTTATTCTGACTGTTAAAAGTGCATTTGTAGATAGAAAATGACAACGTATCCATGCAACAGCCCAATTAAACAGGGTTACAAGTTTTTGCAACTGTTCGACACCAGTCAGTGTGTCCCGGATGTTACCATTAGAAGGGGTAGGTGGAGAAGTGGGTTGCAGTCAAGGTTGCCAGGTCTGTACACTACCCACATTTTGTCAAACGTATTTGATGTATATTTCCTAAATATGCATATATATATGCATTTCTTCGACTTATTAAAGGCAAAATCATAATCCTGACACCTAAGACTGACACTAGAGGATCTGGACACTGTATTTCTCATTTTTTGTGTTACAGACTTAGTGCCTATTTAGCAAATTTGCTACTTTTATAATAAAAGTAATAAGGCCTTAAAAACAAGCAACAAATATCTCATGTTGTTGTTGTTGTTAGTAATACGAATTGTTTAAACTTTTCTCAGTTACCACAAACTTTATGAAGGCTTTCCCATACTGGTGAATATCTAATATCTGGCAACCCGGCGCGCAGCTCCACTGCTACGTTTTCTCGGCAGATAGAGACGCTGCTGTGTGTGTCTGTGTGGGAGATGGACTGAGTGAGGGCGCTCTTCCGACCAGTGCCGCCGATAGCATTGAAATATCCATAAGCTAGGTTGAAATAATTGACGATTTCGGGTCGCTGAATCAACAAGAAAATATAGTACCCTTATCAGTCTTTCACATCCCACTCCAAACACACTAACACGGCATTGATGGTAATGTATGCAAGGAAACAACCGAGACTCGGCGATGGGTAAACATCTTTTTTAACGTTACTTATTCAGATTTTCCTTTTCCTCGTAGCTACGCTTTGACAATCCGCCATTTTTACTGAAACCAAAATAAGTGTCTGGAAACTTGTACGTTAAGCTGTTGCAACACTTTCAGCTATTTCTTAACATTGACATTTTAAGTCTCTTATTCACTGTTGTTTTCTTTATATTTGCAGGTGCGACCGAAGAGATTCTCAGCCCTATCAGGTACTTGTTAGCTAACCGTAGCCTGCTAGCTTGCTAGCAGCAAATAAGATTAAAATGGACACTCTAGTTCAGGCTTCTGGAGAGCACAACAGGCCCCAGTCAGTGCGGAAAATAACGCGAAAAGTAAATGGTTTTGTTTGAAATTGCCGTCTGAGAGCTGTAAATATTTCCTAACGTAAGTATTGTCAGGTTAAGAAAACATAGACTAATCGTGTTCGTCGAATTCACCGGTTTTGGAAAAGGTACAGGCGAGTTTTATTGCAGCTGAGAGCTAATGATAGCCTGTTACTGTTAGCTTGCTTGCTAGTCAGTCCGATTAGGGCCTGACCGCAGTCTGTCATTTTAAGGATATAGCTAGCTAAGCTCTCAAAACATCAAAGTAGTCGAAATACATACCACAAACAAATGTATTGACTTAAAGTTCAAATACTGATAATTGACAGTAAAGTTGGGTAATACTGTTATGTCTGATAAAACGTCCTGTTTACGTCGTCATTATCAGAAATTATAAATGTGTTAGTAGTCATAGATACATTGTTGTCAAGTGAGGGGCTACTAAGCAGCCATACTAGTATAGTTATAAGTGTTATTTAGCAAGGTACTATAGAATTGACAGGTAAATGTTCTGCTCACGAATCACATTAGTTGGATGAATGGTGATTAGCTCTGCTAATATCTGAAATATTAACACTGTGATGTATATGTACTTTAATAGTATAGTTATTTGAAAAGCCAAACTAGAGGGTGAAACTGGTTTTAGAGACGTCCTGATGATGAAAGAATAACATCATGGTTCCCACAAGATACTAGATTCTAGTGAAGTGTTTTTTTTTTTATTATTTATTATGTGTCTACAGACTCTCAAATACTCGTCCAAGAGCCATCCAGGAGGGGACCACCGACATGAAAAGATGCGAGACTCCTCAGATGTCACTCCTCCCTGCAAAATGCTCAGGAGGTCTGACAGCCCTGAAAACAAACACATCGACAGCACAGGGCACAGCAGAGCAAAGGCTGTCCACACACACCGCGCCAGAGACAGGGATGGAGGTGAGACATCGTGGTTATTTAGAATAACAGGGGTTTAGCTCAAAAACAAATAACTTACTTTCATGGCTACAGATGATGCTATCATGTAAGAAACAGGAGGTGTTGTTTTTTCCTACCTGTGTATTAGTTTTACAGCTAAGAGCTTCAACGCTGAATCTTTGCAACTGTGTAATTAATTTTTTTATACCCTCAGACATAAGTGCATCCTGTTTTATGCTTATTTATGCAACAAAGTTGTAGGTATTTCAGCTTTTGTGGTTTTGGATCAAACAAGCCCCCAACTAAAATAGATGCACAGATGAAATGATTAATTTGATCAAGATGCAGTATATGGTAACCAGTTGAGTAAACCACAGCTGTCAGCAGCAGGTCATTTTGGATTCTGTAATAATAATCGCGAACTTTGATGTTTTGTGTATGTATTGAAATTCTACTGCAGTGGCATGAAAAGGAACACTACACACAAGCATTCAGATGTTTAAGGAAATGTCTTGTGAGGAGGGGTTAAGTGTCTTTTATGCCTTGTATAGGTTAAGATCTGAATTTGCTCAGTAGCTGGCCAATTTCTCTGACAGTATATGAGAAGTAAATTTATTTTTTAGGTTTGAAAAAGTGGATTTCAGTCACTTCATCACTGTAAACTCAGGGGTGATGGTTTCAAATCTTTTTTTTACAGTTTAAATTTTCTCATGTTTTTCACTCCAAGATAACAAATAAAGCGAGAGTATTTCTAAAACATAGGATGCATTGGCAGTCAAGCAGTCTGATTCATGCTTGTGACATGATTATGGGTAGTGAGCAAGCATTACTGTGATGTGGGGCATAACTGTAGTTTTGGTAGAGAGCAGTATGTTGGGTTGCTACAATTGATTTGGCAAACAATATTTTGTTTAGTGTATTTTTTTCAGTGTTG